GTTCCTGCCTCTCCAGCTGGCTCAGTCCAACCCTGGGGTGTTTGTGGAGGCTGGCTCTACACCAGGCCGTGGGGAGACCCGCCTCTGGGCGGAAGCGCTCAAGGTCTCGCAGGGACCAGCTACAGGGGTCTCCGCACCCCGGGCTCAGCCCCCCACGGGAGACAAAGTCACTGCCTCAGACTCCACAGACCTACAGCTCTGATGGCGAGGCTCCATGGGCCATCGCCTCCCGGTCAGCGCCAGCGTCAGTGTGAGCTCACCCTGCGCCTCGGGGCTGCTCAGCAGAAGAGAACACCCCCAAATCGGCCTGACCGAGCTATAGACGGGGTTCTCTGTGCAGTCCAGAGAAAGTTCGAAAACTGAAGGGGCCGCGGGCATCTGTGGAGGCCTGGCACACTGCAGGCGTCGAATGTGTGTTAGCTCCTCCCTAAACCGTCCTGGCTCATCTTGGACAACCCAGAGGAGGGTGAGTGAGCCCGCCCCCACCCTAGCCCTGCCTGCCCAGGGAGGCTTTGACCTTGATGGCTTGGGAGCTGGGCAGCTGGAAGATGTGCCCCTCCACTGATGCTGGCTCCTGCTGGGCCGGGCCGGGGACGTTCTGGTCCCCACTGCTCCAGAGGGGGGTTCCGTCCTCACCAGGCTGGGAGAGTTCCTGGAGGGCCTGCGGTTCTCTCTGAGCATCTTCTGCTGGCCAGGAGCGAGGCACTGTGGGCTGGCGGTCTACACAGGGACGGGGTTGGGGCAGGGCCGTTCATAGTCAGGGCCAGGCCTGTGCCCAATTTGGGGACAGGACCAGGGTGGGGCTATTACTGGGTTTCGGTTGAGCTCAGGATTGGGTTTGGGGCAGGTGAGGGTGTGCTCAGGGTATTGGTGTGGGTCCACCTGTGGTTGGTGTCTATGGGGCCTGTGGGCTGACCTGTCCTGTGTCCCCGTGGGCTGACCTGTCCTGTGTCCCTGTGGGCTGACCTGTCCTGGGTCCCTGTGGGCTCACCTGTCCTATGTCCCCGTGGGCTGACCTGTCCCGTGTCCCTGTGGGCTGACCTGTCCCGTGTCCCCGTGGGCTCACCTGTGCTGTGTCCCCGTGGGCTCACCTGTCCTGTGTCCCTGTGGGCTGACCTGTCCTGGGTCCCTGTGGGCTGACCTGTCCTGTGTCCCCGTGGGCTGACCTGTCCCGTGTCCCCGTGGGCTCACCTGTCCCGTGTCCCCGTGGGCTCACCTGTCCTATGTCCCCGTGGGCTTACCTGTCCTGTGTCCCTGTGGACTCACCTGTCCTGTGTGTCAGGAGGTAGTAGAGATGGCCCAGTCCTTCTAGGCTGGACTGCTGGGTGGGTCTGTTTGGGTCCTGGCACAGAATGGCCAGCATGCCCACCAGCTGCCCAACACGTTTCAAGTCCTCTTTTGGCTGTGTGAGAGTGAGGGGGTGAGGGCCACTGGAAATGGGGTTCCACCCGGCTCATACCCACCCAGCACAGTGGTGTCATGGTGATCACCTTGAGGCTATGGCAGGGCCAGCACTGGGGTCTGGGCAAAATGTAAACATTACCAAGTTGCTCCAAACCCTATAACCAACATGTTAATACGATATTTGAAAAAGCACAGTGAAGGCAGAACATCGCATACTGGCCAGGCATCAGGACTTTAAATAAAGGTGGAATCTGAGCCTGGGCTTGCATGGCCTGCCTAGTTTGCCTTGCCTTAATCCCAGTCCATTGTCAATAAAACTTTATTTGCAAAAATAAGTGGCCAGTCCATGGGTCTCAGTTTGCTCATTCTTTTTTTTTTTTTGGCTTTTGCCATAGGGTGTGTTTGCTAGCTGGAAAAAAACAGGGAGAGGGAAAGTGAGAAATCATTCCCCAGGGGCGATGGCCATGCTGTAATCCCTTCTCCATTCTCCTCCTGGGGTTTTCAGCCCAATTTTTAAACTGCCAGGTCTGGGACTCAAACCGTGGTCAGCCATGTGGAAATCCAGCACCTTACGGGTCACACCACCCTGCCGAGTTCATTTAAAGACCACATTAAAATAAAATTGAACCCAAAATCCCTAGAGGACAATGGAGGGGAAGGGATTGCTCATGGCCATCCCCCCAGGGTCCCCTCTCTCTGCCTCTCTCTGCCTCTCTCTGGCAAGGGCACAGGCCCTAAGACAAAAACCTAAAGGAGGACCGAAAAATAAATAAAAGATTGATCCCAGTTACGGAGTTTTTGGCATTCCTTCCCCCCGAAGTTTGTGCCTGCTTGCCTGGCCCTGGCCCTAGTGCATGGTGTGGGGACGGAGGCCACTTCGCCCCCAGAGGTCCTTCCTGCGGGGGCCTCTCCCTTGCAGAGCAGTCCCCGCCCCGCGGCGGGTCTGCAGGGCCCTCTGCGGCTCGCCTCCCCTTCTCACCTCCCCTTCCCTAGCTCGGGCGGGGGCACCGGGAGAGGGCCGAGGACTGAGCGCTGAGTGGGGCGGACAACGGCTCACGCTCCCCCGAACCCG